ATGTCCCTCCACGGGAGGAGCATTCAGAAATAGTCAACACATCGGCGGTTGACGAGTTCTTGACGGTTTGGATTTTTTGTTTTCGGTTTTTCGTCCAAGATCCGCCTGTAGGAGGGCATGCACGACCTGATGTTAGGGTCCGTGCTGCCGACCCGCCCGTCAGAGTCCACCCGCCCGACCCGCCTTTCTTACAGTGGGCGGCTTGAATAAGGAACACTTACTTTTCAATCAAAAGGGGCTCGGTCGTTTCTTAGATTTTACATGCGTTATTTACAGTTCCTTATTCGTTATCTATCATTTCTCGTTTCTTATGCGTTATTTCTTGGGATAAAAACGGGCTTCGTTCCTTATTTCTCGTTCCTTAGGTCAGGCCGATGACTGTACCACTGTGGGGGTCTGCCGGTAGCCGGTGCCGCGGGTTCGTGCTACGCCGGCGGGGCGGTGGCCCCTGCTCTGCGGGTGCCGCGCGGGAGCGCCCGATCGTTCATGGCTGATTGTCCGCGACGTGTCAAGAACCACCGCGCAAGTCGCCAAGCATGCGTTTGTCAGAGCGTGAATTACCTACCCCGCTTTCGCTTCCAGGCAAAACCAAGTCGTACCACGCGCCTCCTCGTCAAGCGGCCTGACCAGTGCAGGCCGTAGTCTGGCATCGTTTGGTATCTCTTGGAAGCGAGGGTGGTCAAAAGCGAGGTAGGTTTGTTTTCCCCCTAGTTTGGCATGCTTTCTCATCTTCTGCACACGTTTGGTGTGCCGCGCGCCATCACTGGATAGCCAGTTTCGCCTAAGCGCCGAGTGGCGTAGGGCTTCTCGACTCGACTTGTCAAGAGCCACCGGGCAAGTCGTCACGACGCGAGCCCGTCGCGCGAAAAAGAACTCGGTATGTTCACGGGCAGAGGGGGCGGGAGTCAGAGGCTGATGGTATGATTCCATGTTCAGTGGCACGCGGGCAAAATAACCGATCACGGGCGATGATAAAGCCTACCCCCCCTTAACCCCCTCTATCTTTATTATCCCCGCCCAACAGAATTTGATTGTGCAGAGGGGCGCGGAGGCCGAATTTTATAATCCACGGGGGGAGTTGCGAATCGAAGTTTCTATCATCTCATCTTTACTAGCAACAGCATCAAAAACGCTGAGCATGGCTATGGTGTTCTCACCACATCAGCTTCCGCAATCACGAGCGTGTGGCAGGGCTGTGGGATTCTCACCAGTTCAGTTTGCCCAAGTCGCGAACGTGCGGCAGGGCCGTGGGATTCTCACTTTCTCAGCCGTTCCCGAGTCAGGAACGTGTGGCAGGGCCATTGGGGCTGATTGGATTTTGATTGTACGTGCGTTTTTCGAGCAGGCAGAGCATTGGAGTTGATTACTTGTGTCGAGCGCCTGCTGGCAAGTTGTATAGCCACGAGCATCGAGATCTCTCGAGTCAGTCTTGTGCCGAGCGCCCAGGATCACCATCATCATGATCATCATCGTCATCATCGTCATCCTAACTTACCATCCCTGGGACAATCCTTTATTATCCTCGCCAGACCCCCGAACTTTATGATCACCCGGTGATTCTTATCGCTCGCACAGGGTTCAGAGCGAGTCGTCCGGGCATGAGTTGACAATGACGATTGTGACGATCACCAGCGGAGGAGGAGAAGAAGGAGGAGGAAGAGTAGGAGGGTGGACGAGAAGGGACACATGGAGGATGGAGAGACCGAGGGGAGGACCGAGGCAGGGAGGATTGGGGGAAAGGAGGGAAGGAGACAGGATGGCGAAGACAGGGAAGAGGCGGAGGACAAGCTAGGTGCAATCGCGCCAGATCTGACATCCTACCCCTCCCACCAATCCCTTCCCATTGGGCTGTTTTTTTGTATCCGCCGACGCGTGTCACAGCGGACCTGCAATTCAAAAGACGATGTCGACCCCATCGTGTTATGCGTAATCGGAAAAAAAAGGGGAGCTGCGTGCAATGGAGAAGGAGGATGAGGTGGCCGATGAGCAGGATGATGATCATGAGGAAGAGGCGGATGAGGAAGGAGGACGAGGCAGCAGGAGCTGGAGTGGAAGGAGCGGGAGGAGCAGGAGGACCAGGAGAAGGCGGAAGAGGGGGAAGGAGGGGGCGACAACAGTGAGGAAATACTTGGATCCAGAAGAGTGGCCCGCGTTGGGGCGAGATCGCCACTCTGAACGATGGGAGCACATCGCCGATCCTAAATTCAGGCCCACGCTGCAGCGGCAGCACTGTTTTGAAGGACCGAAGCGACCAGATTCTGAACCAAGACTTAGGACAGAGCAGCTTTTGAAATCCTGTGTGTAAAACACAATGGCGGGACACAGCCCAGCCATTATCGGGGGAAATATGAGGGTAGTATGCATATTCAGTACTTGTTTAGAAGGGGGAGGAGGGTATTGGATTGATGAAGGGGAGCTGTGAGGGACCGAGGGAGGGATGGAAGATGAGTAGCGGGAGGGTGGAGGATGACTATAAGACATCTAAGGCTGGTGATGGTGGCGATGGTGATACTGATGCTGATGGTGATGATGGTGACCATGATGGTGATGCTGTCGATGCCAATGATGATGCTGATGATGCAGATGATGATGATGATGATGATGCTGATGTTTCTGCTGCTGATGATGATGCTGGTGGTGATGATGGTCATGATGGTAATGATGATGATGCTACTGCTGCTGACGATGATGGTGATCATGATGACGAAGACGATGACGCTGACTGTAAAAAACACTCGAGATTATGCATATGTCGGTGATGATGTTTATTCTGAGGTTCTACACAGGGGTGGTGATGCTGGCGATGCTAAGCATGATGGGACACATCGCGCTGTCGGTGGCAATGGTGGTGAAGCTCATATACATGACGGCGAACATGAAGATGATGACATTGATCAGAATGTGGACACGCTGGCGGTGTTGCTGCTGATGGTGATGCCGATTCTGATTGATATGGTGATGCTGCTGCTGATGATGACGATGATAATGCGGACGACGCGGACGATGGTGTTGACGACGACGATGATGGTGGTGGTGGTGGTGGTGGTGGTAAGGCGATGCGATGACGGTAATGCTGCTGATGCTGATGCTGCTGATGATGATGGTGAGGATGACGACGACGAAGACGACGACGACAACAACGATGGTGCTGATGGTGGTGATGCTGATGATGCTGATGATGCTGTTGGTGGTGATGATGCTGATGATGATGATGACGATGCTGATGATGGTGGCAAGGCCGACGATGATGATGATGATGATGATGATGATGATGATGATGATGATGATGATGACGATGATGATGACGGTGGTGAGTGTGATGGTGATGGTGATGGTGATGGTGATGGTGATTGTGATGGTGGTGCTTGTGATGCTAAGCATGATGGGACACATCGCGCTGTCGGTGGCAATGGTGATGAAGCTCATATACATGACGGCGAACATGAAGATGATGACATTGATCAGAATGTGGACACGCTGGCGGTGTTGCTGCTGATGGTGATGCCGATTCTGATTGATATGGTGATGCTGCTGCTGATGATGACGGTGATAATGCGGACGACGCGGACGATGGTGTTGACGACGACGATGATGGTGGTGGTGGTGGTGGTAAGGCGATGCGATGACGGTAATGCTGCTGATGCTGATGCTGCTGATGATGATGGTGAGGATGACGACGACGAAGACGACGACGACAACAACGATGGTGCTGATGGTGGTGATGCTGATGATGCTGATGATGATGATGATGTTGGTGGTGATGATGCTGATGATGATGATGACGATGCTGATCATGGTGGCAAGGCCGACGATGCTGATGATGATGATGACGGTGGTGAGTGTGATGGTGATGGTGATGGTGATGGTGATGGTGATTGTGATGGTGGTGCTGGTGATGCTGCTGCCGATGCTGGCGAAGGTGATGGTGATGGCGATGGTGATAGTGACGATTGTGATCATGATGCTGATGCTCATGATGCTGATGGTGATGATGCTGATGATGATTTTGATTCTGACGACGATGCTGCTGATGATGCTGATGCTGATGATGATGCTGCTGATGATGATGATGATGCCGATGACGCTGCTGTTGATGACGATGATGCTGAGGATGATGCAGGACATTGTGATGACGCTGATGATGATGGTGATGCTGCTGATGATGATGCTGATGATGATGATGGTGATGCTGCTGATGATGACGGTGCTGCTGATTCTGCTGATGATGACCATGGTCACGATGATGATGCTGCTGCTGATGCTGATGAGGATGACTTCTATCATGATGCATGCGGTAATTGTGTTGTTGTTGTTGTTGTTGTTGTTGTTGTTGTTGTTGTTGTTGTTGGTGTTGTTGTTGTTGTTGTTGTTGTTGTTGTTGTTGTTGTTGTTGTTGTTGTTGTTGTTGTTGTTATTATTGTTGTTGTTGATGACCATGATGATGCTGATGATGCTGCTGATGATGATGCTGATGATGATGATGATGCTGTTGATGACGATGATGATGACGACGCTGATGATGATGCTGCTGATTCTGATTATGATGCTGGTTTTGATGATGACGTCAAGGAGGAGAACAGGAGAACAGGAGGACGACGAGGAGCAGCACGAGGAGGAGCGAAGTCTTGCTGAGTAGCATGGTGAGGCTGTCTGCGTTGTTCCTTGTCTCCTCAGCCTTTATCCTCCCCCTTCCCTCTCCCTTGTCCTTCCTGTCTCCTCCCCTTGCGCCTCGTCGGGGTGGGGCGGGGGCGAGATGGGGAGGGGGGAGGAGGGTAAAGAGAATCTTGTCCCCTCGTCGTCGTTCCTCCCCCCTCCTTCTCTCCTCCTCCCTCCTCTCCCTCCTCTTCGGAGGAGATGAGCACGGTCAACCCAAACCACTGTATTCTATTGTCTTGGCGAATTTGTGTCCATGGTGCCGCAGGGCGTTTGCATCCAAGGACAGCGCCTGCCCACATGTACGGACGGCGTGGCTGACGAACGAGTGTAGACTCCAGCGGGCGGGTGTCTCATTGGAGCCTATCGTATCTAAGTCGTTGAAGTGCTTGATGTGTGCAGCAGAGTTTGAGACGCTTGATGAGTATCATGACCATGCAGCAGAATGCCACCTCCCTCCACCTGCTGTTGTGAAGCCTCGAGAGCAGCGGGGGCACCTGTCGGCCCGCGCGGGGAGACCTGGGGATGTCGCTGGTCTTGGCAGGGGGCAAAGGCGACGAGAAGATTGACACTTTCGAGCGACAGGTCAGACGCCGAGACGGACAGCAATAAGCACCTAAGAGCTGCGCAGGCGTGTGCGCCAACAGCAAATCCGTGTACGTGCTCGTGATGAAAATGTTGCTTTCGCTTGCTCAGAGCAGACGGAACATGGACGGGGTGCTCTTCGACGTGCTGATTGTTCCAGCGGACCTTCCAGCGGTGCTGCAGATGCAGGAACAGGGCGCCGCCTACAACAGCCAGCTGCAGTCCAAGGGCAAAGGCCACGGGCTGGGAGCGCCCCACGTGTACGTGTTTGGAGGGCTGCTGGAGGCGCTGCTTTTGAGGCAGCTGAGCACAGGCTGAGCACAGGCAAACAGAACTTCGACAAGCTTCAGGAGTTCAAGCAGCGCCTCGCGACGCTGGGGTACCACGAGAAGATGGACATCATCCGCTTCACGAAAATGGACAGATGCCACGACCAGGGCAAGCGCAGGATCACCCTCTGCGTTGGGGAGTACCGCAAGGAATTGATCGGGGCCTTGCAGCAGCTGGGCGCAGAGCTGAAGCCGGGGCGGGCACCAGCCAGCCACATGGAGAGCGAGCTGCAGGAATGGCTGGGGTTTTCTATCGTAGAGAGTGCGGCACGACAGACTATTTTTTCCGGACCGTCAAGCATCGCTGACAGTTTTACCAGATATTGGTACTCATTCGGCGGTGGTGGGAGATTCGAGGACGTCGGAGAGGAGGGGTGCAGGACCTACGACAACTGAGCAGGCTCACAGTCTAGACGTGAGTGTGCAGACCTGCGAGGAAGTGGCGCCTTTGGGCACAGGGGAAGCGACGTCGGCCGACCCGATTCCGAGGAGGAGGTTTTCTCCCATGGGAATTTGTTCACAATCTCCAGGTTCACGGATGACGATGAGGAGGATTTCGCCGAGGGTTTTTGTCTCCTGGTACTTCATAGAAGGAGCGTTTCGCCTACGAGCATTTCTTCGGGGGCCACGGGAATCCAGAGTGCGGGGGGGGGAGGAGCTCGCCGTCGAGATCACAGATGCCCATGAGGAGTGTTTCGACCCCATGGCTCTTGGAAAACATGACCCCAGGTGCAGCAATTTCGGAGAGTTCTGAGGCCCGTAGGTATGTGATGAGACGAGGAGGACATGCCTCAGAAGGAGGCCGCGAGGTAGAGCAGTATCGGAGAGCTTTAGGAGTAGAGGAGGGCACGGCACGGTGGCAGGCACCTAGTAGGAGTAGGCATGTCTTCGCTGTGGTACGTAGAGGGTGATTCGTGCAGGGGGGTCCATGGGCCCAGGCTCGGGTAACTCGTGTTCGGGCTTGGGGTTCCGGGCAGTGCGCCAGCTTTCGGTGTAGGTTTAGGGCCAGCGTCCCCAGGCGTTTTCGGATCCTCCTCTTGAGGACAGCCTCTGGGCCTTGGTGTGTTTCTTTCTTTCTTGATTTCTCCCTCCTCTTCCTTCTCCTCCCTCCCTCCCTCCTCCTCGTCCTTCTCCTCTTCATCCTCCTCCTTCTACTCCTAATCCTGCCTCCCTCCCTCCCTCCCTCCCTCCCTCTCCTCCTCCTCGTCCTCGTCCTCGTCCTCGTCCTCGTACTCGTCCTTTTCCTCCTCCTCCTCCTCCTCCCTTCTCTCTCCTCCGCCGCCTTCGCTTCCTGCTCCTGCTCCTGCTCCGCTATTCCTTCCTTGCTCATTCTTGCTCCCTCTTCGATCTATCCTCGTCCTCCTTCCCGTCCTCCTGCTGGCCGGTACCAGCCTGTCCCCAGGCGGCGCTTCTGGCAGACAAGTCCCGGGCGCATGCGAACCCAATCCGCAAGGTCGTGCAGATGCTCCAGGCCAGCCTGTCCACGCACCTCCAGGGGGATGAGGGTCTTCCGTGCTCCCCATTCCCTCTCCGTGCATCCTCCGTCCTCCCCTCCGTCCTCCCGCTTCCTCCTTCCTCCCCCTTCTCCCTCCCCATCCATCCTCCATCGTCTCTCCACCCCTCCGTCCTGCCATGCCCCTCCCGCCGCCTCCCTCCCTCCTCCCTCCTTCCCCTTCTCCGCGCGTGCCCTGGCGCGCGTGCCCTCCCGCGCGCGCGGGGGTGATCGGGTCTCAATGTGTGAGTGTGTGTGTGGTGGGGGGGTACGCCATCACTTACTTGTGGCCAGCAGTGCAATGTTGATGCCCGTGGTAAAAGCATTTGCTTTGTCTTGGCAGCATGGTTGATTTCAGTGCGGTGAGCGCCTGCATGGCCACCTGCTACTCTTCCACTGGTATAGGACCACTGACGCGCACACTGAATCGCTCATCAAGTTTGACAGTGCAATGTGGGGGGGAGGCGGGAAGGGTGCCGTGCTCCAAACTCGGCCGGCCGTAGCCGTGCTTCAAACTTTGAGACACAGCCGCGGCCGATCGGTGCTGAACACGGAGTGCGGCGGTAATCCGTGCGCGGGTGCTCTCGGCTCTCAAAGGCTCAAAGGGTCTTTCGGCTACGCCTTGCGCTGAAGTGTGGAGATCTTGTCGAGACGGCATGTTATAAAGACATGCGTCGCGGCTTGGATGACCATGTCGCGATGCAGCCGAGGCGCATTATGAGACGTGAACGGCGCTTGCCGAACACATCTGTTTGGTAGAGGAGTTGGCACGTGGGAGGAAAGGGAAACTGCAACCTGACGGGCCCTACGTCCTCCTCCCCATCCTCTTCGCTATTCTCTTCCCAATCCTTCCCCCTCCTCATGCTTCCCGTCACCATGTTGTTACTCCGCCGCCTGCTCTTCCCTCTCATCCTTCCTTCCTTCTCCCTCTCCATTTCTCCTTCTTGTGGCCAATCTCGCGCGGACCTCTGTTAGTTTGGTATGTAGTTGTCCAACCGCTGTGCTCATTTCGCCAATCCATGCTATTTCACCTTTCACCTTTGGCATTCGGTCATGCTGGAAAGTGCCATGGGTGAGAGGGTAAGGTCAATAGGGGTCGTAGAAGTGCACGGTAAATCTTTCCTCACTGCTCGACGATGACGTGCTTGCAGGGCCCCTCAGTACATCGTGCGTCGATGTTCACTGCTTGCAAGAGTCAGTCGCGCAGACGCGGTCCGAGGCATCAGTCAGTACTCCGCAACTTGGTGGCCCTGCAGAGGTTACCTGCGGATAACGAGAAAATCTAAGGGTGAGGTCTTGTTGTCGCTCCCTGGTCGCATGAGATGCAGACTGGGCCACCTCGACAGGATCGGCAACAGGCTTCGGTGATACCGCGTATCCGAGATCTCCAGCAGGGGCCCTGGGAGACTCGCTTCTCGCGCTCGCCACCGGGGACAGATATTTGCAACCCTCCACTGGGGTTCCGCCGGGGCTTGAACACAATTCTCGTTTTGGTTCCCTCGTCCACGGAAGGCCGCCGAGAGCGGAGCGGCGAGTGAGGCCACGTCTCGAAGACCCCTGGCCTCTTCCAGGCTGCCTCGTTCCATCATGGTCCACCGGAGGACCGCTAAGGGTTCACCTGCGCTCCCAGGCCAGCATGGAGGCTACAGGAGGCGTTCCAACGAGGGCATCGCCTTCAATCGCAGGCCTAGAGGTTGACACCAACACCAAATTCGGCGGTGTGCCTCCACCGAGGGAAGAAGATCCCGATCTCGGTGATGGTGGTAATATTCTGGCTTCCAAGGTGGCCGAAATATTACCACCAACACCGAAATCTAGGATCACCTTCCCCCTGTGGAGGCAACACCCTGTGTTGGTGTTGGTGCCCATTTCCAGGCCTCCAATTCAAGGATCGAATGAGTTGGTGCCAGTTGTTGGGTCCTGGTACCCCTTGATGTCCGCTTTTGGAATGCTATGGGGCCTTCTTAGTGGAACCCTCTTGGGAGCGTTCGGAGCCCTTGTGGAGCTCTCTTGGGCCCCACTCGAAGCCATCTCGGAGGTGATCTTGGGGCCACCCTCATGCTTCACGATCCCACAGCCAGCGAAAATGTGAGAAAACCCACTCCATTGAAACACATTCATCTCTAGGATTTTTGGCAAGGGTGCCCTCGAGGGCGAACGTTATTCGCGCTTCGCGCTTCGCGGTTCGGCTCCGATTCCTCCTCATCCTCTCCTTCTCCCCTGGGAGGCGGCGCGAGACCGCGAAGTCATTCGCACTTCGCGCTTCGCGCTTCGCGCAGTGCGAAGCGCGAGGTTGGGAGCCCCTGCTTGGCCTCGTGGAGGCCTCGCTGGGGGGCGCCCTGGAGCCTCCTGGGCCTCCTCGGGGCTGCCTCGGAGGCCTCCTGGGCCCGCCTCGAGGGCGGGGGGCCTGCCGCCCACCGCTCCTCGCTGCCTTTGGCCGCTCCCAGGGCTCTCCTGCAGCTCCCCTGGGGGCGAGCCCGCGGCCGCCTTAGGAGTCCCGAGGGTCGCGCCAGGAGGAGGAAGAGGAGGAGGAGGAGGAGGAGGAGGAGGAGGAGGAGGAGGAGGAGGAGGAGGAGGAGGAGGAGGAGGAGGGATGAGGAGGAGGAGGAGGAGGAGGAGGAGGAGGAGGAGGAGGAGGAGGAGGAGGAGGAGGAGGAGGAGTAGGAGGAGAGGAGGAGGAGGAGGAGGAGGAGAGGAGGAGGAGGAGGAGGAGGGAGGGAGGAGGAGGAGGAGGAGGAGGAGGAGGAGGAGGAGGAGGAGGAGGAGGAGGAGGAGGAGGAGGAGGAGGAGGAGGAGAGAGGAGAGGAGGGGAGGAGGAGGAGGAGGAGGAGGAGGAGGAGGAGGAGGAGAGAGAGGAGGAGGAGGAGGAGGAGGAGGAGGAGGAGGAGGAGGAGGAGGAGGAGGATGAGGAGGAGGAGGAGGAGAGGGGAGGAGGAGGAGAGGAGGAGGGGAGGAGGAGGAGGAGGAGGAGGAGGAGGAGGAGGAGGGAGGAGGCGGAGGAGGCGGAGGAGGCGGAGGAGGAGGAGAAGGAGGAGGAGCGGAGGAGGAGGAGGAGGAGGAGGAGGAGAGGGAGGAGGGGTCTTAGGAGTAGAGCCATCATCTCAGAGGAGGAGAAGGTACCCATACCTCTGCGCTTCGGCCGTTTTTCCCTCGTTGGGCCTCCTCGGAGGATCTCGTCGCCGCCGCTGGACTCGCCTCGAAATCCTGGCCAGAACGCACCCCAGGAGAGAGGTCCGGGGACCAGCGGTATCGGTACCTTTTGCTCTCCCCAGTCTCCGCCCCGTCCTTGCCGGGACCTGGGGAGCCTTCGGGGCCCGCTCTCAGGAAGCCCCGCCCCCGGCTCCTCGGAGCCCAGCGTCTCCTCCTCCTCCTCCTCCTCCTCCTCCTTCCTCCTCCTCCTCCTCCTCCTCCTCCTCCTCCTCCTCCTCCTCCTCCTCCTCTCTTCACTTCTGGGAATACCCAGGGGGCGCCACGTGCTTGCTGCAGATTGTTGCACGCCTCTGGCCCGTCGGGCCGACGAATGCTCCACTGCCTACGCTCTCCGCCTGCCTGCCTGCCTGCTTGCCTGCCTGCCTGCCTGCTTGCCTGCCTGCCTGAGTCAGTGTCAGTGTCAGTGTCAGTCTCAGTGTCAGTGTCAGTGTCTGACTGTGTCAGTGTCAGTGTCTGTCTGTCTGCTTGTCTGTCTGGCCTCCTCCTCCTCCTCCTCAGTCAATCAGTCCGTCCGTCCGTCCGTCCGTCGGTCTATCTGTCTGTCTGTCTGTCTGTCAGTCAGTCAGTCTGTCTGTCTGTCTGTCTGTATCTTTTTTTTGTTCGCTCTCTCTCGCTCTCTCTTTCTACTTTGCTCCTCTGAAGTCTTGCTTTGCCCTACTGCTTCACGCACGTTTCAGATCTTTGCTCTTCTGCTGAGCTGAGCGTGGTGTGGCCATTGCAGCAGAAGCTCACGCGACAGTTTGGAGAGCGGCACGGATGATTC